TTAGCCTTGGATGTTCTAATATACAGGCACTCCTTGACTTATAATGCTTTGATTTATGATATTTTGATTTTGCAATGGTGGAAAAGCAGTTACAGTAGCCCCCCCCCCCTTTGTAGCTGTGGGTGATACATTCCAAGACCTACCCTGGATAGTAGCAAATCTTATGCAGTGGTATCTTGAATTTCGGCCTTAATTTGTTCCAGAAGGCTGTTTGAGGGCCATTACTGAACAAATTTGCTCCCTATGAGGACTAATATAAATTACATTAATCTGTTTCAGACCCCCAAAAATGCACGTACAAAAGCACTTACAAAAATACACTTACATAATTGCTCAAGTTGGGAGCTGTTCAAAATTCAAGGTACCACTGTACATAAGTCATTTTTTGTTTACACACTTACTTATGATAAAGTTTAATTGATAAATTAAGCACAATAAATCGAGAATTAGAACTTTTTCACTGATGGGAAGCACTTGATGGCTTCTCTTAGACTCTGAAGACCTGCCAACATCACTACATTCATGCTTGGGGGGCGTTATTAAGCAAAATTAAGAGTTATTTTTGGGCCACAGCAAACTGTGGATAACTGAAACTGTGGATACTGAATCCGTGGATACAGGCACTATTGTACCTTGTAATTGAAACTTGAGATAATTACCCAACATGAAGGCAGCAAGTCTGTAACTTGTATTCATTTACAGGTACCATCCGACTTACGACTGAGTTTGGTTCCGACAAACCAGTCGTAAGCCAAAATGGACGTGAGTCAAACCTTACTACTGAATATCAACATCACATTTTTGTAATGACTTTATTTTATTGTTTTATTTTGGTATTTCATATTTTACTTTACTTTTTATGTTGTTAGTACTGCATTTTATACTGTAAGGTTTAGGATAAACACTGTGTACAACACAAACCGTTGTTTATTTCCCAAAAATTTGGCATAGAAAACACGGTCATAAGTCGAATGGTCATATGTCGAGCAGGTCGTAAATCGGATGGTAGGTGTATTTACATTTCAATACTGGTGTTCAGTTACAGTAATTATTTGTTTATTTATTTATTCAGTGGCAGTACTTAAAGTCTTCAAGACTGTGAAAGCTGTTGTAGTTTGCTGTGCGCCCTGTAGTTAGAAGTGCAGCAGCGCTTGGAAGAGGAAAATGGAAGAAGTACATAAGAAGTTCATATTAAAGGGGTTAGCTGGTGTGTTTGTGTGTGTGTTAACATTCTGTGTCTCTCTTGTGGCAGCTTAACCCCTTCAGGGTCCAAGGCCAAAATCTGAAGTGGTGCTCCAGTGTCCAAGAAATTTTGAAAAAAAAAAAAAAATTTTTTCTTACAGAATTGAAGAGTATATTTTTGTGAAGGTAATAAGACAAAATTTTTTTTTCTGATCAGTACTTACCGAGATACAGCGGCGGGAAGTTGACCCAAAATGACCGGGTGGCGGCAACATCAGTGACTTCCACAAAATCCCATTTTTTTATTTTACGTTTTTTATATTTTTTCTTTTCTAATTTTTTTCTTTTTCTAATAACATTTGTGATCTGTGAGACCAGTATAATGTATATTGTATAAGTGTACACTCATTGTATTCCATGCAATAACTGCACTAATTTGTTTATCATTATATTTCTTACAAAACTTGTTTACAAGTTTATTGTAAACAAAATGATGAAAATATTAGTGCGGTTATTGTGTTGAATACAATGGTACCATATGGTACAATGGTGCCATAGGGTGCAATTGTACCATATGGTACAATGGCACCATATAATACAATGGTACCATTTAGTACAATGGTACCATATGGTACAACAGCACCATTTGGTACAATGGTACCATATGATACAATGGTACCATATAGTGCAATGGTGTAATGGTACCATATGATACAATGATACCATATGGTTCATTGTACCATATGATACTGTTGTATTCAACACAATAAACACACTAATATTTTCATTATTATTTTGTTTACAATAGTTGTTTACAACAAAAATATGCAAAAATGTTATATATTAGTAATGTTCTATTATATATTTACAAGTGTACAGGAACTTGATGTGTTCCTTGAGCTGGATGACAAAGCACTTTGTCTAGGAAATTGGGGAGTCAGTAGGTAGCTTATGTCACCACTCACTCAGTCTTGGCTGGTGTCTCATGCCACCAACACCTATTGACCATATGGAACACGGTATCATATGTTACAGGGTACCATATGGTACATTGTACTATATGGTATAGGGTACCATGCAGTACAGGATAACATATGGTACAGGGTACCATATGGTACAGGGTACCATATGGCACAGGGTATCATATGGCACAGGGTATCATATGGCACAGGGTACCATATGGTACAGGGCACCATATGGCACAGGGTACCATACAGTACAGGACACCCTGACTTTTTTGGGTTATCCTAGGATTTTATACGTATGCTGCTATGTATGATAATCTATGTAAGTGTATTTCTGTATACCGGAATAAACTTACTCATGTGCATGTGGCATCATAAGTAAGTTTATTTAGTTATACACAAATAAAGTTACATAGAATATCATACTTAGCAGCATAAGTTTGGAGAACCTAGGATAACCCAAAAAAGTCAGACAGACTTATTTCCATTAGGGTCCCTGTACCATATGGTATAATGTACCATATGGTACAATGTACTATATGGTACAATGTACTATATGGTACATTGTACCATATGGTACCATTGTACCATATGATACCATTGTATGACATGGCACCATTGTACCATATGGTACCATTGTACCATATGGCACAATGGTACCATATGGTTCAAAACCATAGAATTCGTCTTCAGCTCCACTTCCATCAGTCTTAGAACTGTAAGTTGTGATGAGGAGAGTCAGAATTCACCCAGAGAGTGAGTGGGGAGTGAGAGCTTCCTTGCCGCCAGGCACGATGAACAAAGCTACTTTGCCGGCGTTTCCACAATGCCATGTGGGCGTCCAGATTTTTTCTATGGTGTGCACACTGACCACCCAGACTCATTCTCTTAGATGCAGGCCTACCAGCCTTCTTGTGCTAAATTTGACGGCGCTAGAATTTTGGCGTAGATCTACGGTTTGGACCCTGAACGTAAAGCCGTAGATCTACGGGACAGACCCTGAAAGGGTTAAGTGAGCAAGGTATGTCTATGGTAATAATAATAATCGTAATAATAATAATAATAATTGCTCTGGAGCACTTTAAATCTCATACATATTTTGTAGAGGTTTGGTAGCTGACATTAAGAGCACTCCAGAGCGATTGTTATTATTAATTATTATTATTATTAATTATTATTATTATAATTACCATTAACATACCTTTTTCACTGAGTTTAATAACCTCTTAAGTTGCCACGAGAGACATCGAGACAAATACAGACAAACACACCAGTTAACCCCTTTACTGTGAACTTCTTTTGCAATTCTTCCATTCTTTGTTCTTCTTCCTCTTTCTACAATAAATACTCCTCTCTGACCCTACATTAAGACTACAAGTATTTTAAGGTAAGCAGTGAGTGTACTGTGTGTGTATTTTACTATTTTATTGTTTTCTGTATATATAAGAGTTATGTAAATTAAAACAAAGTTATCAAGTTAGAGTTTCCCTTTTACTTATTTTTTTTCTTTCTAATATACGTATTTAATTCACTATTTGGCATCGTTGCAAAGTGGGCAGAGCTATAGCAGAGGGAGACGCGGGTAGTATCACAGTGACTGATGTACAATATTTTATAGTGGCCTTACGCCACTATAAAATATTGTACATCTACTATCAATAAAGGTTATCTTCCTATCATTTATTCCAGAGTTATACCTAATATTAGGTATAACAATGCATGATAAAGATGCCCAAATTAATAAAAACTGACATCACATGGAGAGGTATTGAAGAGTGGGCAGCGAGGGAAGAATTAAAAAAAGTGACTGCGACCATTACAGAAAATGTTATGTGCCTGAAGGGTAACTATAGAAGATCACTCTTAACTTATACAAAGACTGAAAAAAGTGCAAGTAATCAGCTATGCACACTTTTCCTGGAATATCTTGGAAGTAAGTTATTGACCTATTTCATGTTGTGTTACTATTAATAATGAAAGGATTTTAAGGATTTTCACAACAAACATAAAACTGAATAGTATCTTAATTTAGGGTGGTGATATTTTTGAAGTATCAGTAAGAAGTGGTTCCTTGATTAGTGACGAATTCATTTACCAGTGTGGTCTTAGGAACGCAACTCCGTCGGTAAGTGAGGAGAAGCTGTATTCATATTTGACTTAGGGTATTTTCAACTTAAAATGGGTTCATCAGAATGTAACCCCATTGTAAGTGAAGGAGCAGCTGTATTTATTATTTTGAAGTCTAGATGACATTATGTAACACGATAGAGTTTAGATGATATAACATGCTGGAGTATAGATGATATAACATGCTAGAGTATAGATGATATAACATGCTAGAGTATAGATGATATAACGTGCCAGACTATAGATGATATATAATTTGTGATCACTTGGTCTTCATAAAGTTATATTACAGTGGACCCCCGCTTAACGATCACCTCCCAATGCGACCAATTATGTAAGTGTATTTATGTAAGTGTGTTTGTACGTGTATGTTTGGGGGTCTGAAATGGACTAATCTACTTCACAATATTCCTTATGGGAACAAATTCGGTCAGTACTGGCACCTGAACATACTTCTGGAATGAAGAAATATCGTTAACCGGGGGGTCCACTGTATTTAGAAAATATTCGTATTGGGACAAAAAAATTAATTTTTAATTTAACTGAAATATTTTAATCATTTTTGTTTATTGTTGTTGACAGGACGAATTTATTTAATATTTTTGTTGTTGACAGGACGAGCTTGTTTAATGTTTTTGTTGTTGACAGGATGAGCTTGTTTAATGTTTTTGTTTTTGTTGTTGACAGGACGAGCTTGTTTAATGTTTTTGTTTTTGTTGTTGACAGGACGAGCTAGAGGAGGAGGAGCCGGAGGAGCTGGGAGATCGTCGTGCTCGCTCCAAGAAGGAGATTGACTACACTGATAGTTTAACTGAGAAAGAATGGCTCCGTGCTATTGGGGTGAGTACAGTAGGGCCCCGCTTTATGGTGTTTTGCTAATATGGTCATTTCAAATTATGACCAAAACTCTCTATACGGCTCCCCCACCTGACTTTCTAATAAGTATGGTCACAGCCCCCCACCTGGTTTGTTTATATTCTACGTGAGATCCGTAAACACTACATCTCTCCATTATGTCTGGAAACTCTCCAAAATTTCAAGAGCTTTTAAAAGTTATTTCATATTTTATACGTATATACTCTGATAATTATACTTATGTATACCTGTACCGAAATAAACTTACACACTGTGCTGGCGCGCAGGTACACATTGAAATCAGTAAGAGTCTCTTATGTCTCCGGACACCATGTTAGTAATGATAATAATAATAACCACCGAGTCTCATTAAATGTCATATATTACGTTAATATACACATTTTAATTAATCCATCTATGATATTTTTCAAAATTGTATAATAAACACGATACATAATTTATAAAGATGATAAATACACCCCACAGTAGAATAAATATACATAAATATGAGATGTGGTAGCCAGATAACTTGTACAAGTGACGACAAGAATAACATTTTCTCTAGTCCAACATAGAGAAAATGTGTTACTGGGGGTAACTGTAGAAAATTATTCCTTTCATATGTAAGTTTATTCAGGTATACACAAATACAGTTACATAGATGATCATACATAACAGCATATGTGTAAAGCACCCAGGATAACCCAAAAAGGTCAGAGTGACTTATTTCCTTTGCCTTCACTCAGCGTCATTTCTTCTAAAAATGGTGTTACATGAGAATGGGAGTGTTTCTCTTTATTTATTCTACTGTATCAGTGTAGAGACAACTTGTACACAAACCAGAAGTGTACGTCTGGCTTGTTTACAAAACTTGCATTCACCTGGTTTGTTTACATAATTCTGCACCTGTCCTCTCTCATGTTCTCATTCTCTCTGTCATTCTCTCTCTCTCTCTCTCTCTCTCTCTCTCATTTATTCGTTTTATCTCGTTTACTCATCCCTGACCCTACATTAACACTACAAATATTTTATGGTAAGTAATGAGTGTACTACGTGTGTATTTTACTTTTTTATTGTTTTTTAATGCCTAGTTCTATTGCTAACTTTATATATGTTAGTGTAAACTTGTCTAGTATTTGTACGCATTGATAAGTGAAAAAAGGGTGTTCAACTTTACGGCGATTTCCGCTTTATGGCGGTAGCCTGGAACCTAACCTGCCATATAAGTGGGGCCCTACTGTGCTGGCATATTTCTCGTGGTGAGTACTGACACATTTCTCACAGTGAATACCCTCATATTTCTCACAGTGAGTACTGACATATTTCTCAGTGATTGATATTACTTAGTACAGGTGTTGTGGTTCTGGAACACAACAAGTGGGATGGCTTAGTGTTACTTTGTACAGGTGTTGTTGTTCTGCAACACAAGTGGGATGGCTTAGTGTTACTTTGTACTGGTGTTGTGGTTCTGGAACACAACAAGTGTGATGGTTTAGTGATAATACAGGTGTTGTTCTGGAGCAACAATTACATGGTACACAAACATCTGTAGTTTCTGCAGGTGCTTTAACAGTTCTACAGGTGTGCAAATTATAAATTTTAATTGTACTGTTTCTTAATTGTGGAAAGTCACATAGAATAAATATATCATTGTTTATAATCAGTTATAATTATTAATTGTGAGCCGAGTGTGAGTTAAATGGAGAAAGAAAATATATATTGTCATTTATATTATCATACAGCATCTTCTCATTTAGCAACGCACTCGTTTACCGATGACTCAGGCTTATGACTGGCTCTCTGACCAGTATATATACCTAAATAATGTATATTAGAACTGATTTCCTCTATTCTGTGTATTACAATATACAGTACACTACTGTATGAACATTTAAAAATATACCAGAAATGTTATAAATGGTGCAGAGGTGACATTAAAACAATATCAAAAATGGTTAACACAAACCAATTACCATTATTAGTATGCTCCTCACTTTGCAACGAATTTGTTTAACCCTTTGACTGTCTCAGGCCCCTTTCTGAAACTGTCATTCTATGTTGCAAAATTTTTGAAAAAAAAAATTAATTTTTCTTACAAAATGGTAGAGAGGCTTTTCCCGATGGTAATGACACCAAAAGTTCGAAATTTTTTTGAAAACTCACGGAATTACACTCCCGCGAAGTTAGCGGTCTCGGCAATATATACGTATTGGCGATTTTGCCGAATTGAGCCCTGTTTTTAGCCAATTCCGTTGTTCAGGTTGACCAAACTCATAGCTATTTCTTTAGAACTCCATTTTATCTATCAGTTGAGTACAAGAAACCGCCCATTCAACGATTTGAACTACCCAATAAAGTGGTCAGAAATTGGCAATTTGGCCAATTTCATGCAAATTAAAAAAGATGCCAATTTCAAAATAGGGTCCAGAATAAACAATGTAGACATTCTTGGCACTAAAATAACATATCCTCTGTTCATTAGTCACATGTCTAGGCCCTTCTTATATTACTATTGCTTTCTATTTTGATTTTTTATTCATACAAAAAAATACAAAATTTACTGGTATGCAGATTACTGCATTATTGTAAAAATGGTATAAATAATATCAGTGCACTAGTGAAAGAATATTAGACTCCCCAGTTGACGTGTATTGGACGTGTGGTGTGATTTGTTTACTCCTGAACGTTGGTAAAAATTGAACATTTCCGCTACTTCGAGCTCAGTTTCAAGGTCGTTTTCATCATGAAAGTAATGGAAATCATCTCTATTTCTGTAATATGTTTTCCATTTTATCACCTAAGACCATGAAAATGAGAATACAACGATAAATACTATACGAAAATACACCTCAAAGTCGGCGTTTTAATCCAAAAATACGGTCAGTTTTTTTTTTCTCATTATACACTGTGTGCTGCAGGATTTTTTTTATGTGATGCACACTGATCACACAGACCCATTCTCTCACATGTGGGCCTACCAGCTTTCTCCCGCTTGATTTGAAGCCGCTAGAATTTACGCATATAGATACGTCAGAAGCAGTGGCGCGTAAGACGTATTTATACGGCGTAAACAGTCAAAGGGTTAATGATGTGGTCTTAGGAATGCAACTCTGCCATTAAGTGAGGAGAGGCTGTACGTAGTTGATTATAAATGTTTGAGGATTAGAGTTAAAATATATTATGTTTAAAATAATTTGCTTGAGACGAATGCAAGTGGATGTTAAGATGCAAGTGGATGTTAAGATGTAAGTGGATGTGAGAGTCAGTGTTTACAATTGTTATTCCTCTTGCATGCAGGCTGTTGAAGAAGATGGGAAAGAGGTAAGACATCTCTCAAGTTATTTATGTTCCTCATAACAATTGTCAGATGTGAATAAATGCTTTACAGAGTTAATTAGATGATGAATGAGACACTTGTGCAACATTTGGGAATCTTTATTCTGGAAATCTTTCGGCAGCCAGTGACTTCTTCAGTCCCGTGCAGAGAAAGGTGGAAGATGAGGTGGAATTTGAGGTAATCAGTCCCTCAACCTGGAGTAAATGTCTTCAATCCATCATTCTTATCAAGACTGATGGATAGAACACACAGACTCCAGGCGGAGGGATTGATTACCTCAAATTCCACCTCATCTTCCACCTTCCTCTGCATGGGACTGAAGAAGTCACTGGCTGCCAAAATGTTTCCAGAATAATACCCAAATATTGCTCAAGTGTCTTACTTATCAATTATAAAATGTTGACAACAACAAGTGAGTGTTGATACAGTGGTAAGAACCAGTGTATAAACCATACCACGGGCGGGATTTGAACCCGTGGTCAGAGAGTCTCAAAATTTGTTTGCAATCGTGTCATTACCATTTCGTGAGTTGAGTCAACCAGTATATATATTGACAGTGGTAAGAACCAGTGTATATATTTACAGTGGTAAGAACCAGTGTATATTTTGACAGTGGTAAGAACCAGTGTATATATTGACAGTAGTCTAGTGGTAAGCTGTCAGAGGGTGGTAGTTGTAGTAGTTTTAGTAGTAGTTGTACCACTATAGTGAGTAGTTATACTGCTGCTATACTATCCCAGCTACTACTGTACTATCCCAGCTACCACTATACTATCCCATCTACTACTGTACTATCCCAGCTACCACTATACTATCCCTGCTACTACTGTACTATCTCATCTACTACTGTACTATCCCAGCTACTACTGTACTATCCCATCTACTGTACTATCCCAGCTATTACTGTACTATCCCAGCTACTACTGTACTATCCCAGCTACTACTGTACTATCCCAGCTACTACTGTACCATCCCAGCTACTACTGTACTATCCCAGCTACTACTGTACTATCCCAGCTACTACTGTACTATCCCAGCTACTACCACTTTCTGATATCTTACCACTTGACTAGTGCCACTCTACATCCTGACTCACAGTTATCACTGTAACTACACTGTAAAACACTACTGGACAGTATCAACACTGTACAACACTACTGGACAGTATCAACACTGTACAACACTACTGGACAGTATCAACACTGTACAACACTACTGGACAGTATCAACACTGTAAAACACTACTGGACAGTATCAACACTGTACAACACTACTGGACAGTATCAACACTGTACAACACTACTGGACAGTATCAACACTGTAAAACACACTACTGGACAGTATCAACACTGTACAACACTACTGGACAGTATCAACACTGTAAAACACTACTGGACAGTATCAACACTGTACAACACTACTGGACAGTATCAACACTGTACAACACTACTGGACAGTATCAACACTGTACAACACTACTGGACAGTATCAACACTGTACAACACTACTGGACAGTATCAACACTGTACAACACTACTGGACAGTATCAACACTGTACAACACTACTGGACAGTATCAACACTGTACAACACTACTGGACAGTATCAACACTGTAAAACACTACTGGACAGTATCAACACTGTACAACACTACTGGACAGTATCAACACTGTACAACACTACTGGACAGTATCAACACTCTACAACTCTCCTGGACAGTATCAACACTCTACAACTCTCCTGGACAGTATCAACACTGTGCAACACTACTGGACAGTGTACAACACTGTACAACACTACTGGACAGTATCAACACTCTACAACTCTCCTGGACAGTATCAACACTGTAAAACACTACTGGACAGTATCAACACTGTACAACACTACTGGACAGTATCAACACTCTACAACTCTCCTGGACAGTATCAACACTCTACAACTCTCCTGGACAGTATCAACACTGTGCAACACTACTGGACAGTGTACAACACTGTACAACACTACTGGACAGTATCAACACTGTACAACACTACCGGACAGTATCAACACTGTACAACACTACTGGACAGTATCAACACTGTACAACACTACCGGACAGTATCAACACTGTACAACACTACCGGACAGTTTCAACACTCCACAACACTACTGGACAGTATCAACACTGTACAACACTACCGGACAGTATCAACACTGTACAACACTACCGGACAGTTTCAACACTCCACAACACTACTGGACAGTATCAACACTGTACAACACTACTGGACAGTATCAACACTGTACAACACTACTGGACAGTATCAACACTGAACAACACTACCGGACAATATCAACACTGTACAACACTACCGGACAGTATCAACACTGTACAACACTACCGGACAGTTTCAACACTCCACAACACTACTGGACAGTATCAACACTGTACAACACTACTGGACAGTATCAACACTGTACAACACTACTGGACAGTATCAACACTGTACAACACTACTGGACAGTATCAACACTGTACAACACTACTGGACAGTATCAACACTGTTCAACACTACTGGACAGTATCAACACTGTACAACACTACTGGACAGTATCAACACTGTACAACACTACTGGACAGTATCAACACTGTACAACACTACTGGACAGTATCAACACTGTACAACACTACTGGACAGTATCAACACTGTACAACACTACTGGACAGTATCAACACTGTACAACACTACTGGACAGTATCAACACTGAACAACACTACTGGACAGTATCAACACTGTACAACACTACTGGACAGTATCAACACTGAACAACACTACTGGACAGTATCAACACACTACACCTCTCCTGGACAGTATCAACACTGTACAACACTACTGGACAGTATCAACACACTACAACTCTCCTGGACAGTATCAACACTGTACAACACTACTGGACAGTATCAACACTGTACAACACTACTGGACAGTATCAACACTGTACAACACTACTGGACAGTATCAACACTGTACAACACTACTGGACAGTATCAACACTGTACAACACTACTGGACAGTATCAACACTGTACAACACTACTGGACAGTATCAACACTGTACAACACTACTGGACAGTATCAACACTGTACAACACTACTGGACAGTATCAACACTGTACAACACTACTGGACAGTATCAACACTGTACAACACTACTGGACAGTATCAACACTGAACAACACTACTGGACAGTATCAACACTGTACAACACTACTGGACAGTATCAACACTGTACAACACTACTGGACAGTATCAACACTGAACAACACTACTGGACAGTATCAACACTGTACAACACTACTGGACAGTATCAACACTGTACAACACTACTGGACAGTATCAACACTGTACAACACTACTGGACAGTATCAACACTCTACAACTCTCCTGGACAGTATCAACAAACTCTTCTAGATGGTATCAACATTTTACAATATTGAACAGCACTGTACAACACTGTAAAATACTGTACAACACTCCTGGACAATATCAACACTGAACAACACCCCTGGATATTATGAACAGCTGTACAACACCCTCCTGGATGGTATCAACACTGTACAACACTACTGGACAGTATCAACACTGTACAACACTACTGGACAGTATCAACACTGTACAACACTGTAACTCATGAAATCATAATGACACAACTGAAAACAAACCATATCATGGGTGGGGTTAGAACCCCTGATCACAGAGTCATAAAACTCCAGACGGATGCACTAGCCACTGTTCTAACCTTCCTATGGTGTAGAAATATACCTAGTTGGATGAATCTTATTGTAGCCAGTTGGTTCAGCAGCTAACTCGTCGGTCTGGAACTTTATGACTCTGATCGCAGGTTCAAGTCCCACCTGTGGTATGGTTTGTTTACAACACTGTACACTGTCCAACTCTCTCCTGGATAGTATCAACATTATACAACACTGTACTATTCTCAGTAGTACCAGTTACCAGTGTCAGTAGTGGTGACTCACTACCAGCCATCTGTGTGAATCACTTGTTATTCACTGTTACAGCTGACCCTAGCATGTTTTGAATGCCACTCACCCTCTAGGAATCATCTTGTGAGTCAGTCGAAGGATAGGAAGCGGAGACGCAGGTCTGGCTTGGCGCTTCCCATACATTCTGTTTTAATATACAGTGGAACCTCTACTTACGAATGCATCCATGTGCAAGCTTTTCCAGATATGAGCAGCTGCTTGGTCGATTTTTTGCTTCCAGACACGAGCAAAATTTCCAGATGTGAGCGGGCCTCAAGGGAGCTTAATTGACACTGGTGAGGGGCTCTTGCTCTTGATCTAGGAAATTGGATCTCAGTTGTTTGTTATACTATCTTATTGAAACTTGGGCAATGTATGATGAAAAGATGCTTCTTAACATACACCAAAAACGAAAGAAATCGGACCATAAATAATGGAGTTTACATCTCAGCCATTACCCTCCCCTTAGCGGTATATTTTTGCATGGGTTTTTATGGTTGTATTCTCGTTTTATTTGGTCCCTTGTGATAGAATGGAAGATATACTACAAAAATAAATATGATTTTAATTGGTTTCACGAAAAGTACCTTGAAATTGAGCTCAAAATAGCAGAAATGTTCGATTCTTTGGCAACATCAGTGGTAGACATCATGAGGTAGCAGTGGCAGACAACATAAAGCAGCAGTGACAGACATCATGAGGTAGCAGTGGCAGACAACATAAAGCAGCAGTGGCAGACATCATGAGGTAGCAGTGGCAGACAACATAAAGCAGCAGTGACAGACATCATGAGGTAGCAGTGGCAGACAACATGAAGCAGCAGTGACAGACATCATGAGGTAGCAGTGGCAGACAACATAAAGCAGCAGTGACAGACATCATGAGGTAGCAGTGGCAGACAACATAAAGCAGCAGTGACAGACAACATGAAGCAGCAGTGACAGACAACATGAAGCAGCAGTGGCAAAGTGTAGCATTAAGAGTGTAGCAGTTAAGTGAAGGAGGGGTGTTAATGTTGCAGTTTAAAAACTGTAGTGTAAAGCACCCTTCTGGCAAGACAGTGATGGAGTGAATGATGGTGAAAGTTTTTCTTTTTCGGGCCACCCTGCCTTGGTGGGAATCTACCTGTGTGTTAATAAAAAAATAATAATTAAGAGTGTAGTAATTAAGTGAAGCATTAAGAGTGTAACACTTATAAGTCACTCTGTCTGACCTTTTTGGGTTATCCTAGGTTCTGTACACATGTAGTCAGGAGCAGGAATGGCCGCTGTGGTGGCCCTATAAACCCCAACAACAATGGCTGCTGTTACCACCACTAGCCACATACCTAATGACATGTATTTTATTCATTCTAGTGTATATATCATGTTTCTATGTTATTAATATTGTTTATTATGTCATATTACATGAATTTTGATAGATAAATAAGCTATAAAGTTGATATTAGGGAAATTATTAAAGTATTTTCTCATGCCTGGAATTCCACTGGAACAAATTAATTCCATTTCAGTTAATTTAAATGAGGAAAATTGACTCTGCAAACAAGCAAATCCAGTTGCGAGCAAGGTCATGGAATGGATTAAACTCGTAAGTAGAGGTTCCACTGTACGTACTTCATTATTGCCTACGTGAGTATCCTTACCCAATTCCACGTTTCGGAACCCAAGGGGACACAATGTCCAACACTGTACAACATTGTCCAACACTGTCCAACACTGTAAACACTCCTGGACAGTAGCAATATTGTCCAACACTGTACAACACTCTCCTGGACAGTATTGATGTTGTCCAACACTGTACAGCACTCTCCTGGACAGTATCAACATCTTTGCTGTACAACACTGTACAACACCCTCCTGGACAGTATCAATGTTGTACAACACTGTACAATGTCCAGCATTCACTTGCAAAACTTGGAAGATGTTATCCACCCAGGATAATCTGGGGTACTGTTATCCACCCAGGATAACCTGGGGTGGTGCTATCACCCAAGACTGATACTCCACTGGTGTTTGACACTGCCTGGTGTTTGACACTGCCTGGTGTTTGACACTGTCAGGTGTTTGACACTGCCGGGTGTTTGACACTGCCTGGTGTTTGACACTGTCGGGTGTTTGACACTGCCTGGTGTTTGACACTGTCAGGTGTTTGACACTGCTGGGTGTTTGACACTGCCGGGTGTTTGACACTGCCTGGTGTTTGACACTGCTGGGTGTTTGACACTGCCGGGTGTTTGACACTGCCTGGTGTTTGACACTGCTGGGTGTTTGACACTGCCTGGTGTTTGACACTGTTAGGTGTTTGACACTGCCGGGTGTTTGACACTGCCTGGCGTTTGACACTGCTGGGTGTTTGACACTGCCGGGTGTTTGACACTGTCAGGTGTTTGACACTGCTGGGTGTTTGACACTGATGTTTATTAAAATATAAACATAATACATATTTACAACAACATTTTTGAATGACTTATTTCACTTTTTAACTGTATTTTCTATTTTTATTTTACACGTTCCTTTAGAAGGATCGTTTTAATACATTTGTGGTTGTAGGCCATGGAAGAAGAAGAGAAGGAAGTCACAAGCAGCAAGAACAGGAAAGGCTCTAAGTCGAAGCGTAAGCGACAGGAAGACCAGGAAAGCGAAGATGACCCCAAGCCAAGGAAACGAGGACGACCTGCCAGGGAGAAGCAAGCGCCCAAGAACACTGCTCTTATACGACACTTAAGACGACTTATGGATATTGTTATTAAGTTTGAAGACAGGTTAGTGTTTTTGTGTTGCTGTTGTGTTTCTGCTGTTTGTTACTACTGTTGTTTGTGTTGCTATTACTACATTTGTGTTACTGCTATTGTTTGTGCTGCTACTGTTGTTTGTGTTGCTGTTACTACTATTGTTTGTGATGCTGTTACTACTATTGTTTGTGTTGCTGTTACTACTATTGTTTGTGTTAGCCACCCGGGAGTGATACTCTGGCGTTTGACACTGCCTGGTGTTGCACTGACTGTTAGGTTTTGTTGTATTTAATTTTTGTATTGACTCATAAAATCGTAATAATGCGATTGCAAACAAACCATTGAATGGGAATGGTTTGAACCCATGGCAGTGAGTCATAAAACTCTAGGCTAGTGGTTAACGCACTGGCCTGGAGTTTTAAGACACACTTGCCATGAATTCAAACCTCACCCATTTCGTGTTTTTTTTATGGTATTGACATTGTTCTCTGACATTACACAGTGACGGCCGCGTGCTGAGTGAACCCTTCATGAAGCTGCCATCTCGCCGTGAACTCCCGGATTACTTTGCCATCATCAGGAGGCCTATAGACATATGCAAGATTCTGAGTAAAATTGATGAAGGAAGAGTAAGCTATGGACTTGCAGTTGCTAAAGTTACAGTAGAGACAATAAGTTACAGTAACTTTTTTCTTGCACTTAAAAACAAAAGTACAGTTTGTAGAATGATGGCTTAGAACTTTGTAACACATCAGCTGAGTTAACCCTTTCAGTAGTAGTTATGTACAACTACACCTGCCATCCGACTTACGACCTGCTCGACTTACGACCACTAGACTTACAACCACTAGACTTACGACCACTCGACTTACGACCATGTTTTTTATGCCAAATTTCTGGGAAATAAACAACTATTTGTGTTGTACACAGTGTTTATCCTAAACCTTACAGTATAAGATACAGTACTAACAGCATAAATAGTAAAGTAAAGCATGAAATACCAAAATAAAACAATAAAATAAAGTCATTACAAAAATGTTTTGTTGATATTCAGTAGTAAAGTTCTACTTACGACCATTTCAACTTACGACCGGTTTCTCGGAACCGAACTCAGTCGTAAGTCGGATGGTAGGTGTACATCGATGAGGTCAGGGCCCCTCATGTAGTTCTACATCATGAGCTCAGCTCAGATAAACTGTGAGTGGTAATTTTTGGCCAGGGTATGAGAGAATGGGTCTGTGTGGCAAGTGTGCAGTATAAAAAAAAAATCTTGATCCATGTGGTTCATGATGGGAAAAGCAAAACTCTGACATTGCGACTGGTTTAAAATAGCGACTTTGAGGTGTATTCTCAGGTGTTTTTATGGTATTATTCACTGTTTCTTGGCATCAGTTGATAGAATGGAAGACATATTACTGAAACAGAGATAATGGTTGGTTCTGGGACTGAAAGTAGCTTGAAATTAGGATCAAAGTTGTGGAAATGTTTGATATTTGCTGATTTTCACTGTCCAGATCTCCAAATTTAATATTGCTCCCAATGTCCATTTCAAAAATGAAATGGTAGAGAATTTTTTTCTGAAGGTAACGACACAGAAGTACGATATTTGATGGACAACTTGCAGAGTTATGCAGGCACAAAGTTAGCAGTCTGGATGCACTCTACACAGCTGTGATTTAATCAATTTTTAGTTCTGTTTGTCAGTTCCATTCCTCCATTCAGCCACATTCTTGGCTATTTTGCTAGCATGCCTTTAATTCTATCAAGTGAGGACAAGAAACTGCCCATTTAGCTATTTCAACTGCCCTATAAAATGCACAGAAGCAGGTAATTTAGCCAATTTTAATCAAAATTAAAAAATTCCAATACAAAAATAGTGCAAAATAGACATTCGTAGCATTAAAACATTTCCGCTGTTCAATATCAACTTCTTGTCTGGCTAGACCAGCACTTCTCGTCTAGCTAGACCAGCACTTCTCATCTGGCTAGACCAGCACTTCTCGTCTGGCTAGACCAGCACTTCTTGTCTGGCTAGACCAGCACTTCTTGTCTGGCTAGACCAGCACTTCTCATCTGGCTAGACCAGCACTTCTTGTCTGGCTAGACCAGCACTTCTTGTCTGGCTAGACCAGCACTTCTCGTCTGGCTAGACCAGCACTTCTTGTCTGGCTAGACCAGCACTTCTTGTCTGGCTAGACCAGCACTTCTTGTCTGGCTAGACCAGCACTTCTTGTCTGGCTAGACCAGCACTTCTCATCTGGCTAGACCAGCACTTCTTGTCTGGCTAGACCAGCACTTCTCATCTGGCTAGACCAGCACTTCTTGTCTGGCTAGACCAGCACTTCTCATCTGGCTAGACCAGCACTTCACGTCTGGCTGCTGTCCGTCTTGAGCAAGTCCAGGAAGTTATAATTATCCGGTTAGCCAGACTTGAGTCCTGGAAATAGGAAGTACAATGCTTACACTTTAAAGGAGGAGTTTGGGATATTGGCAGTTTGGAGGGACATCTAAACTGTCATATCTCAGCGCCTCTGCAAACAGTGATTGTGTATGAGTGAGGTGAAAGTGTTGAATGATCATAGAAGTTTTTTTTATTTTGGGGGGGGGGTTTCTTTCTTTTTCGGTCACCCTGCCTCGGTGGTCACCCTGCCTCGGTGGTCACCCTGCCTCGGTGGTCACCCTGCCTCGGTGGTCACCCTGCCTCGGTGGTCACCCTGCCTCGGTGGTCACCCTGCCTCGGTGGTCACCCTGCCTCGGTGGTCAACCTGCCTCGGTGGTCACCCTGCCTCGGTGGTCACCCTGCCTCGGTGGCCACCCTGCCTCGGTGGCCACCCTGCCTCGGTGGTCACACTGCCTCGGTGGTCACCCTGCCTCGGTGGTCACCCTGCCTCGGTGGTCACCCTGCCTCGGTGGTCACACTGCCTCGGTGGTCACCCTGCCTCGGTGGTCACCCTGCCTCGGTGGTCACATTGCCTCGGTGGTCACCCTGCCTCGGTGGTCACCCTGCCTCGGTGGCCACCCTGCCTCGGTGGCCACCCTGCCTCGGTGGTCACACTGCCTCGGTGGTCACCCTGCCTCGGTGGTCACCCTGCCTCGGTGGTCACCCTGCCTCGGTGGTCACACTGCCTCGGTGGTCACCCTGCCTCGGTGGTCACCCTGCCTCGGTGGTCATACTGCCTCGGTGGCCACCCTGCCTCGGTTGTCACCCTGCCTCGGTGGTCACCCTGCCTCGGTGGTCACCCTGCCTCAGTGGTAACCCTGCCTCGGTGGTCACCCTGCCTCGGTGGTCACCCTGCCTCGGTGGTCACCCTGCCTCGGTGGTCACACTGCCTCGGTGGTCACCCTGCCTCGGTGGTCACCCTGCCTCGGTGGTCACACTGCCTCGGTGGTCACCCTGCCTCAGTGGTCACCCTGCCTCGGTGGTCACACTGCCTCGGTGGTCACCCTGCCTCGGTGGTCACCCTGCCTCGGTGGTCACCTGCCTCAGTGGTCACCTGCCTCGGTGGTCACACTGCCTCGGTGGTCACCCTGCCTCGGTGGTAACCCTGCCTCGGTGGTCACCCTGCCTCGGTGGTCACACTGCCTCGGTGGTCACCCTGCCTCGGTGGTCACCCTGCCTCGGTGGTCACACTGCCTCGGTGGTCACACTGCCTCAGTGGTAACCCTGCCTCGGTGGTCACACTGCCTCGGTGGTCACTCTGCCTCAGTGGTCACCCTGCCTCGGTGGTCACACTGCCTCGGTGGTCACCCTGCCTCGGTGGTCACCCTGCCTCGGTGGTCATACTGCCTCGGTGGCCACCCTGCCTCGGTTGTCACCCTGCCTCGGTGGTCACCCTGCCTCGGTGGTCACCTGCCTCAGTGGTAACCCTGCCTCGGTGGTACCCTGCCGTGCACCTTCGGTGGTCACCCTGCCTCGGTGGTCACCCTGCCTCGGTGGTCACACTGCCTCGGTGGTCACCCTGCCTCGGTGGTCACCCTGCCTCGGTGGTCACACTGCCTCGGTGGTCACCCTGCCTCAGTGGTCACCCTGCCTCGGTGGTCACACTGCCTCGGTGGTCACCCTGCCTCGGTGGTCACCCTGCCTCGGTGGTCACCCTGCCTCAGTGGTCACCCTGCCTCGGTGGTCACACTGCCTCGGTGGTCACCCTGCCTCGGTGGTAACCCTGCCTCGGTGGTCACCCTGCCTCGGTGGTCACACTGCCTCGGTGGTCACCCTGCCTCGGTGGTCACCCTGCCTCGGTGGTCACACTGCCTCGGTGGTCACACTGCCTCAGTGGTAACCCTGCCTCGGTGGTCACACTGCCTCGGTGGTCACTCTGCCTCAGTGGTCACCCTGCCTCGGTGGTCACACTGCCTCGGTGGTCACCCTGCCTCGGTGGTCACCCTGCCTCGGTGGTAACCCTGCCTCGGTGGTCACCCTGCCTCAGTGGTCACCCTGCCTCGGTGGTCAACAGCTCGTGCACCCTGCCTCGGTGGTCACCCTGCCTCGGTGGTAACCCTGCCTCGGTGGTCACCCTGCCTCGGTGGTCACCCTGCCTCGGTGGTCACACTGCCTCGGTGGTCACCTGCCTCGTGGTAACCCTGGCCTCGGTGTCACCCTGCCTCGTGTCAACTGCCTGGTGGTCACCCTGCTCGGTGGTACCCTGCCTCGGTGGTCACACTGCTCGGTGTGACTATGCCTCGTGGTCACCTGCCTCATGTGGTCACCCTTGCCTCGGTGTCAACACTTCTGGTTGTCACACTGTCTCGTGGTAACCCTGCCTCGGTGGTCACAATGCCTCGGTGGTCACACTGCCTCGGTGTCACACTGTCAGTGGTAACCCTTGCCTCGTGTCCACACTGCCTCGGTACACTGCCTTGTTGTCACACTGCTCTGGTAACCCTGCCTGTTGGTCATCACTCCATCGGTGGTCACACTGCCTTGGTGTCACATGCCTCGGTGGTCACCCTCCCGTGGTCACACTGCCTCGGTTGGTCACACTGCCTCGGTGGTCAACCTGCCTCGGTGGTCACCCTGCCTCGGTGGTCACCCTGCCTCGGTGGTCACACTGCCTCGGTGGTCACACTGCCTCGTGGTCACACTGCCTCGGTGGTCACACTGCCTCGTGGTCACACTGCTCGGTTGGTCACACTGCCTCGTGGTCACACTGCCTCAGTGGGACAGCTGGCCATGGTTAAAATAGAACTGGGGGTTGTAAGGGAAGCGCTTTACTCTCCTCAGGAAAATCGGAAAAACTCGAATATTCATTCTACTTGAGCCATTTGTCAAACTACTTGAGTCCTGACAATCAAACATGCTTTTCAGTAGTTGTCTTCCAGTCGATTAAATGATTACCATTACCAAGAAACAGTGAATAAAATCACAATAAAAAAATCAGAGTAAACAACTCATTAAGTTGCATTTTAAACCCTTCAGCTGTCCAAACTAAATCTATCTTTGTCTCATAGTGTCCACCTTGATTTTCTCCATGAGTTAAGCATGTAAAAACACGTAGCTCATGTTCAGCGCACTACACGAGCTACATAAATCACGTTTGGATGGTGTATAGGTTAAACCATACACAATGTCAGAATTTTGCTTTTCTCATCATGCACCACATGAGTTAAGATTTTTTTTTATACTGTGCACACTCACCACACAGACCCATTCTCTCATACCCTGGCCAAAAATTATCACTCACAGTTTATCTGAGCTGAGCTGAGTCATGAGATAGAACTACACAAGTGACCCTTACCTCCACAATATAGTTCTATGCAATAGCCACTGAATGAGTTAATGCTTTAAGTAAGCTACTGTCTGTCCCATACATGACACTGTTATTATGTCTGGGGAGTTGCTAAGTTGTGCTATTTATTTACAAGCCAAGATGAGTGTCTTGTGAATGTTAACATTTTTGTTGATCGTTAAGCGTAATATTTTAACTGTGGAGTTTTCTCTTCTCTTATACTTAAATCTTTATTTCTTTCATTTCATTATTCAGATATTACTGTAGAATACTTCTTCATCAGTAAGTCATGTGTGTCATAGGAGGCGACTAAAATGCCAGGAGCAAGGTGATGGTAACACTTTCTCCTGTATAAATTACTAAATTAAAAAACTTTTGTTTTTCTTTTCTAGGTTATTGTGCCTCGGTGAGAGACGGCCGGTGCCTTGAAAATAATTAGAATTCCAATCCTTCTGATTATTTTTTTCAGTATGAAGATGTGAATGACTTACAGAGCGCCTTCATGCTTCTGTGTCGCAATGCTCAAGAATACAATGAAGAATCTTCTATTATCTATGAGGACTCTGTGGTAATGCAGAGCGTCTTTGTTAATGCTCGTGAGCGTGTAGAGGCAGAGGTGGAGACACTCCACGATGAAGGTGAGTCAACTTTGTAGTTTACAGTGTGTTGAGGTGGAGACTCTTCATGGTGAAGGTGAGTCAACTTCTTAGTTTACAGTGTGTTGAGGTGGAGACTCTTCACGGTGAAGGTGAGTCAACTTCGTAGTTTACAGTGTGTTGAGGTGGAGACTCTTCACGGTGAAGGTGAGTCAACTTCGTAGTTTACAGTGTGTTGAGGTGGAACTCTTCACGGTGAAGGTGAGTCAATTTCGTAGTTTACAGTGTGTTGAGGTGGAGACTCTTCACGGTGAAGGTGAGTCAACTTCGTAGTTTACAGTGTGTTGAGCTGGAGAATCCATGGTGAAGGTGAGTCAACTTTGTAGTTTACACTGTTCTATGTTGTGTCACCGCAGACGGGTATTTCTCATTGTATATGGAGAGATTTAGGGAAATTGGTTAGCCAGACTTGAGTCCCAGAGGTGGGAAGTACAGTGCCTGTACTCTGAAGGAGTTCTGGAGGTGGGAAGTACAGTGCCTGTACTCTGATGAACTCCTGGAGGTGGGAAGTACAGTGCCTGCACTCTGAAGGAGCCCTGGAGGTGGGAAGTACAGTGCATGCACTCTGAAGGAGCTCTGGAGGTGGGAAGTATAGTGCCTGCACTCTGAAGGAGTCCTGGAGATGGGAAATACAGTGCCGGCAATCTGAAGGAGGGGTGGAGATATTTGCATTTTGGATTGCAGTAACACTGCCCCTCTGGCAAGACTGTGATGGAATGAGCGATAGTGAAAGTATTTCCTTTTTGGGTTCACCCTGCCTCGGTGGTCACCCTGCCTCGGTGGTATACAGCCAGTTTGTTTAAAGAAGAAATTATTTTGCATTCCAGCCATGGTATTGTTCCAGCCATGGTATTGTTCCAGCCATGGTATTGTTCCAGCCATGGTATTGTTCCAGCCATGGTATTGTTTCAGCTATGGCATTGTTCCAACCATGGTATTGTTTCAGCCATGGCATTGTTCCAGCCATGGTATTGTTTCAGCCATGGTATTGTTTCAGCCATGGTATTGTTCCAGCCATGGTATTGTTCCAGCCATGGTATTGTTCCAGTCATGGTATTTATTGCAACCCCTGAATGGATCAAAATGTATATAATGTATATTACCTGTTCATATAATTTCATATTGCTTATACAGTGGACCCCCGCATAGCGACCTTAATCCGTGCAAGAGGGCTGGCTGTTATGCGAAATGTTCACTATGCGAATGAATTTTCCCCATAAGAAATAATGGAAATAAAATTAATCTGTGCAAGACACCCAAAAGTATGAAAAAAATTTTTTTTTACCACAAAAAAATGTTAATTTTAGTACACACAAACTGAAAAAGGCATGCACAATTACATGACACTTACTTTTATTGAAGATCTGGTGATGATTGATGGGATGGGAGGAGGGGAGAGAGTGTGTTAGTGTTTAGAAGGGGAATCCCCTTCCATTAGGACTTGAGGTAGCAAGCCCTTTTCGGGTACTTCCCTTCTTCTTTAAATCCCACTAGGACCAGCTTCAGAGTCACTGGACTTCTTTCGCACAACATATCTGTCCATAGGGGGCCTGTACCTCTCGTTCCTTATGATTTGTCTAAATGGTTCACAACACTGTCATTGTAACAGTCACCAGCACGGCTTGCAATAGCTGTGGGGGTTTGATTTTCATCAAAAAGGTTGCACTTCAAGCCTTTTTGCACACATTTCCTTAATCTTTGAAGTAGGCAATTCCTTAAATTTCTCCTCTCCCCTCCTTTGAACCAGTTTCCCCGGGTCTGGCCTCTTGCTCTTGAAGTTGATCTATCAGCTCATCAGTGGTTAGTTCTTCATTGTCCTCCCCCACCAACTCTTCCACATCCTCCCCACTAACCCCAACCCCAAGGGATTTCCCCCAATTCCACAATTGATTCCTCAACTGGTAAAACTCCTCTCAGGGTTAGCCTCAAACCTTCAAAATCCCTTTTGTCTACACATTCTGGCCACAGTTTCCTTCCAAGCAGATTTCAAGTTCTCTTAGTCACTCCCTCCCAAGCCTTACCTATAAGGTTTACACAATTGAGGATATTAAAGTGATCCTTCCAAAACTCTTTTAGAGTCAATCGAGTGTCTGTGGTCACTTCAAAGCACTTTTGAAACAGCTTTTGTGTACAGTTTCTTGAAATTGGAAATGACCTGTTGGTCCATGGGCTGCAGGAGAGGAGTGGTATTAGGAGGCAAAAACTTCACCTTAATGAAGCTCATGTCCCCCTAAAGTCGCTCTTGCCATGTCTGTAGGATGACCAGGGGCATTGTCTAACACCAGGAGGCACTTAAGGTCTAATTTCTTTTCAGTTAGGTAATCTTTCACATTGGGGGCAAATGCATGGTGTAACCAGTTATAGAAAAATTCCCTAGTGACCCATGCCTTACTGTTTGCCCTCCACAGCACACACAAATTATCCTTGAGGACATTCTTTTGCCTGAACGCTCTGGGAGTTTCAGAGTGATACACTAATAAAGGCTTAACTTTGCATCACCACTAGCATTGGCACACATCAACAAAGTAAGCCTGTCCTTTTATAGGCTTATGTCCTGGGGGTGCCTTTTCCTCCTGAGTAATGTAGGTCCTGCTTGGCATTTTCTTCAGAACAGGCCTGTTTCATCACAATTAAACACTTGTTCAGGTTCAGTCCTTCATTTCTATGTAACTCCTTGAATTCATGCACATATTTTTTCAGCCGCTTTGTGGTCCGAACTGGCAGCCTCACCATGCCGTATCACACTATGGATGCCACTACGCTTCTTAAATCTCTCAAACCAACCTTTGCTGCCTTAAATTCACTCACATCATCACTAGTTGCAGGCATTTTTTTAATTAAATCGTCATGCAAATTCCTAGCCCTTTTTTACATATGATTTGCTTGAGAGATGCTATCTCCTGCTAGCTGTTTTTCATTTATCCACACCAATAAGAGTCTCTCAACATCTCCATCACTTGCGATCTTTGTTTCGAAAACACAGTTAAACCTTTGGCAACAACACTTCCTTGATTGCCGTTTTCTTGCCCACAATAGAAGAATGGTTGATTTTGGGTTTTTTGTACAACCTACCAGGTCGGTGATACTAACTCCACTTTCATACTTATCAATGATCTCTTTTTTCATTTCAATAGGAATCCTAACCCTTATTGCTGTAGGGGTTTGGGAAATAGAAGCTTTCTTGGGGCCCATGGTCACTTATTTTCCAGAAACAGCACCGAAAACACTGTAATAATACGAAATATTCCGAGTGTATGCTTGAATGTTACCGCGGAGGCTGGCTGGTAAACAATGGCACAGGCGGCACATGTGAGGCTGGCTGAGGGCGCACATTGGACGCGTCTCGGACGAAGGCCGCTGAGCGGGTTTTTGTCCACTATGCGGGGCAAAATTTTAGCGAACAAAGCGTCCGCTATGCGGATTGTCCGCTATGCAAGGCATCCGCTATGCGGGGGTCCACTGTATTTGCGATATTAGCTAAATCGTAAATATATTGCTTTATATTATTATTTGACTGTTATATTATTAGGCTGTAACATTTACATATTATTCAGTGCTCATAGTTCGGGAGTGTTAAGTAGCTGACGGCCTTGTTTATCGCTCCACTTTTTTTCCCGGCCGGCTTCTCTGTTATGCGGGGCACGGGCGGGTCCATGGAGATCACGGATCGGGGGGGGGACCACTCCTCATTTTGGGGGAAGAACAAACCTGACCTATGCCTCTCTTTCTTTTTGGGAACGTTGTTTCCCAAATAAGCTGTGCCCTCCACTCTCCCCTTGCTGGCCCTTTTTGGGAAGTTTCGTCCCGGGCGTTTTTCTTGTTGTTGGTTCGTAAAACCTCTGTTCACAGAAAAATTCCTAGCCTTAGTGATTTTCAACATTGTCTGGGGTTGTGTGTCGCTTTGACACCGAAAACTCGGGCCTGGCTGTAGCTTCGACCTTTTTTGAAAACTGGTATCTGTAAAACGTAAACAGTGGGGGTTTTTCAAATTTCCCTGAACTTAAAATTCATATTATGGGTTTTGTGTCTTTTGTGGGGGACCCTGCAGATGGCCCCCCAACTTAGTGCCTTAAAATTAAAATCTCCTTTTTCCTGATTCTTTTCGCTGTTGCTTTTATATTGCTTTTTGGGCATATAAACCCTTTTAAATTGTTCAAGAAAAGCGTTCTGATTGCCATTTTTTGGGTCAAGAAGTTTTTTTTAATTAGGACTTTTAGTCAGTCACGGGTTTTAAGTCTATTTTGAGTCTTGAGACATAGTGAACTACTTAGAGCATTTAAAACACACTACACACAAACTTACTTGTACTATATATTTTTTTTATGTTTTTAAAAGCTAATTTTTGTACCAGATGGAAATTTAAAAAAGCCATAAAGTGTATATTTTCCTTTCAGCAAAATACTACTTTCACGGAGAAGTGTAGGAACCAGAGGCTCGTAAGGGGGGGGCCCCCCAGGTACACCATAAAAGCCTCAAAAAAAGGTTTAAAAAATGCCCAAAACAGGGGCTGAAACGAACAAAAGAAAAAACCCTTTCTTTTTTTATATAACCTATTATATTTTAAAACAAAGTACAAATAACCCTATAAGGGAAAATCAAAAATTTTTGATAATGTGAAAAAATTTTTTTGCAAAAAATGAAGGCAAGGAAATGTAAGATGGGATACACTAGATGTTACCAAATACTCAAGGTAAAGTAGGAACAAGGGTTTTCTCTGATTTGCAATTTTTTTCTTAATTTTTCAAGTTTTTTTTGTTTTTTTTGCATTGTTAAAGAAATAAATGTAGGATTTTTTTGCGTACTCAAAGTGGAAATTTGATTTTTTTCCTCAATATTAAACATTATTTTTTTTAAATCTTTTAAAAAATTTGAGAAGTTTTCCCTTTCATTTTTGGCCCTTAAACGTTCTCATTGAAAAACATTACCCCCTTGACGGGCCCATGCAGTGGGTAAACATTTTTGGATTTTAACCCCCCCCTTTC